ACAAAGAAGGACACTACACAATGATCAAGGGATTGAGCCAAGAAGAAGATATAACAATTGTAAATATGTATGCACCCAACAAAGAAGCAGCTCAATACATAAGGCAAATACTAACAGGCATAAAACGGGAAATCAACAGTAACACATTCATAGTAGGGGACATTAACACCCCACTTTCACCAATGGACAGATCATCCAAAATGAAAATAAATAAGGAAACACAAGCTTTAAATGATACATTAAACAAGATGGACTTAATTGATATTTATAGGACATTCCATCCAAAAACAACAGAATACACATTTTTCTCAAGTGCTCATGGAACATTCTCCAGGATAGATCATATCATGGGTCACAAATCAAGCCTTGGTAAATTTAAGAAAATTGAAATTGTATCCAGTATCTTTTCCGACCACAACACCCTGAGACTAGATATCAATTACAGGAAAATATCTGTAAAAAATACAAACACATGGAGGCTAAACAATACACTACTTAATAAGGAAGCAATCACTGAAGAAATCAAAGAGGAAATCAAAAAATACCTAGAAACAAATGACAATGGAGACACAACGACCCAAAACCTATGGGTTGCAGCAAAAGCAGTTCTAAGAGGGAAGTTTATAGCAATAAAACCCTACCTTAAGAAACAGGAAACATCTCGAATAAACAACCTAACCTTGCACCTAAAGCAATTAGAGAAAGAAGAACAAAAAAACCCCACAGTTAGCAGAAGGAAAGAAATCATAAAAATCAGATCAGAAATAAATGAAAAAGAAATGAAGGAAACAATACCAAAGATTGATAAAACTAAAAGCTGGTTCTTTGAGAAGATAAACAAAATTGATAAACCATTAGCCAGACTCATCAGAAAAAAGAGGGAGAAGACTCAAATCAATAGAATTAGAAATGAAAAAGGAGAAGTAACAACTGACACTGCAGAAATACAAAAGATCATGAGAGATTACTACAAGCAACCCTATGCCAATAAAATGGACAACATGGAAGAAATGGACAAATTCTTAGAAATACACAACCCACCAAGACTGAATCACGAAGAAATAGAAAATATGAACAGACCAATCACAAGCACTGAAATTGAAACTGTGATTAAAAATCTTCCAACAGGGCTTCCCTGGTGGCGCAGTGGTTGAGAGTCTGCCTGCTGATGCAGGGGATACGGGTTCGTGCCCCGGTCCGGGAAGGTCCCACATGCCGCGGAGTGGCTGGGCCCGTGAGCCGTGGCCGCTGAGCCTGCGCGTCCAGAGCCTGTGCTCCGCAATGGGAGAGGCCACAACAGTGAGAGGCCCGCGTATCGCAAAAAAAAAAAAAAAAAAAAATCTTCCAACAAACAAAAGCCCAGGACCAGATGGCTTCACATGCGAATTCTATCAGACATTTAGAGAAGAGCTAACACCTATCCTTCTCAAACTCTTCCAAAATATAGTAGAGGAAGGAACACTCCCCAACTCATTCTATGAGGCCACCATCACCCTGATACCAAAACCATACAAGGATGTCACACAGAAAGAAAAATACAGGCCAATATCACTGATGAACATAGATGCAAAAATCCTCAACAAAATCCTAGCAAACAGAATCCAATAGCACGTTAAAAGGATCATACACCATGATCAAGTGGGGTTTATTCCAGGAATGCAAGGATTCTTCAATATACGCAAATCAATCAATGTGATACACCATATTAACAAATTGAAGGAGAAAAACCATATGATCATCTCAATAGATGCAGAGAAAGCTTTTGACAAAATTCAACACCCATTTATGATAAAAAAAAAACCCTGCAGAAAGTAGGCATAGAGGGAACTTTCCTCAACATAATAAGGGCCATATATGACAAACCCACAGCCAACATCATCCTCAATGGTGAAAAACTGAAAGCATTTCCACTAAGATCAGAAACAAGACAAGGTTGCCCACTCTCACCACTCTTATTCAACATAGTTTTGGAAGTCCTAGCCATGGCAATCAGAGAAGAAAAAGAAATAAAAGGAATACAAATAGGAAAAGAGAAGTAAAACTGTCACTGTTTGCAGATGACATGATACTATAGATAGATAATCCTAAAGATGCCACCAGAAAACTACTAGAACTAATCAATGAATTTGGTAAAGTTGCAGGATACAAAATTAATGCACAGAAATCTCTTACATTCTTATACACTAACAAGGAAAAATCAGAAAGAGAAATTAAGGAAATAATCCCATTTACCATCGCAACAGAAAGAGTAAAACACCTAGGAATAAACTGACTGAAGGAGACAAAAGACCTGTATTCAGAAAACTAGAAGACACTGATGAAAGAAATCAAAGATGACATAAACAGATGGAGAAATATACCATGTTCTTGGATTGGAAGAATCAGTACTGTGAAAATGTCGGTACTACTCAAGGCAATCTACAGATTCAATGCAATTCCTAATCAAATTACCAATGGCATTCTTCACAGAATTAGAACAAAAAATTTTACAATTTGTATGCAAACACAAAAGACCTAAAACAGCCAAAGCAATCTTGAGAAAGAAAAACAGAGCTGGAAGAATCAGGCTCCCAGACTTCAAACTATACTACAAAGTTACAGTAATTAAGACAGTATGGTACTGGCACAAAAACAGAAATATTGATCAGTGGTACAGGATAAAAAGCCCAGAGATAAACCCATGCACATATAGTCACCTAATTTATGACAAAGGAGGCAAGAACATACAGTGCAGAAAAAACAGCCTCTTCAATAAGTGGTGCTGGGAAAACTGGACAGCTACATGTAAAAGAATGAAATTAGAACACTCCCTAACACCATACACAAAAATAAACTCAAAATCGTTTAAAGACCTACATGTAAGACTGGACACTATAAAACTCTTAGAGGAAAACATAGGAAAAACACTCTTTGACGTAAACCACAGCAAGGTCTTTTTTGACCCACCTCCTTGAGTAATGAAAATAAAAGCAAAAATAAACAAATGGGACCTAATGAAACTTAAAAGCTTTTGAACAGCAAAGGAAACCATAAACAAGATGAAAAGACAACCCTCAGAACGGGAGAAAATATTTGCAATGGAAGCAACGGACAAAGGATTAATCTCCAAAATTTACAAGCAGCTCAATATCAAAAAAACAAACAACCCAATTTAAAAATGGGTAGAAGGCCTAAATAGACATTTCTCCAAAGGAGACATACAGATGGGTAAGAGGCACATGAAAAGATGCTCAACATCACAAATTATTAGAGAAATGCAAATCAAAACTACAATGTGGATCACCTCACACCAGTCAGAATGGCCATCATTAAAAAAATCTACAAACAATAAATGCTGGAGAAGGTGTGGAGGAAAGGGAACCCTCTTGCACTCTTGGTGGGAATGTAAATTGATACAGCCATTATGGAGAACAGTTTGGAGGTTCCTTAAAAAACTAAAAATAGGACTACCACATGACCCAGCAATTCCACTACTGGGCATATATCCTGAGAAAACCATAATTCAAAAATAGTCATGGACCACAGTGTTCATTGCAGCTCTATTTACAATAGCCAGGACATGGAAACAACCTAAATGTCCAATGACAGATGAATGGGTAAAGAAGATGTGGCACATATATACAATGCAATATTACTCAGCCACACAAAGGAATGAAACTGGGTCATTTGTAGAGATGTGGATGGATCTAGAGTGTGTTATACAGAGTGAAGTAAGCCAGAAAGAGAAAAACAAATATGTATATTAACATATATGTGGAATCTAGAAAAATGGTACAGATGAAACTATTTGCAGGGCAGGAATAGAGACGTAGACATAGAAAATGGACATGTGGACACAGTGGGGGAAGGGGATGGTGGGACGAATTGGGAGATTAGGATTGACATATATATACTACCATGCGTAAAATACATAGCTAGCAGGAACATGCTATTACGAACATGCTATAAAGCACAGGAAGCTCAGCTCGGTGCTCTGTGATGACCTAGATGTGGGGGATGGGGGGTCCCTGGGAGGGAGGTCCAAGAGGGAGGGGATATAGGTATACATATAGCTGATTCACTTCACTGTACGGCAGAAGTAACACAATATTCTAAAAAAATTATACTATAATAAAAAACAGTACAATTTATTAAAGCACTTCCTTACATATCACTTTCCTTCCCTCCAGATCACCTGTCTCAATGGCAACACCTGAGCTTCTACCTGAGCCCTACTCCCCGCTTCAGGGATCAGCCAATGGATGTGACCCAGACACCCAGGTCTCTTGGCACAAGGGGCAGAGTTTCATCTCCTCTGTCATCTTCCTCACCCTGAGGGTTTGGTGAGTGAGTACCCATGGGGCCACAATAGCAGGGAGTATGATCGACCATTTCTACAGCCCTGGAAGCCCATCTTCTAAAAGGAAGGCTGTTCTGTGTCCTCTAGGGAGGGAAAGGGATAGAACCTCATTCCATCCTGCCACTTATGTGGCAAGGTGACCTAGGCTCTGTCAGCCTGAGCTTGGGCATCTGTGATGTGGGACTCACGATATCTGTCACAGAGCTGTCCTGAGGGGTGAATGAGGAAACCTGCCCAGAGTATATGGCACGTGGTGGGACTTCAGTGCCTTTTAAATGTTGGGATCCAACAGTAGGGGCTGCCTGAGCCTCGGGACTAAGGCAGGAATTATGAAAAAGTTCTCACTGTTTCTCCTACAGAGATTACATACATCTAGAGGAAGGGAGCAAATATCTCTCTGACATGTGTTGACTTGAAGGGTTTGAGATAGTAGGTTCTCTTCATTCTCTGGTGTTACAGAATCTCCTAAGAGCTGCTCCATATCATTCCTCTGAGCAGACCCTAACCCAGTTCCCCACGCTGGGAAGACAGGCTTGCCTTTGACTCACCTGGTGAGCTCAGTGAGAGATGGCACCAGGGCAGCAAGCCGTAGTGTTTGCCTAACTGCTGCTCCTGGACTGCTTTGTACGTTAATATGTTTATAGGAAAATTTGGGACTCACCCCATATTCACCAGTGCAGGGGTCCTGAGATTATGCATCATCCAGCCACATCACACCAGGACTGCAGCCATCTGCTGTCTCCCTGAGGGGCAAAATTCCAAGAGTTACTAACATTTCTTTGACACACAATTACCCATTCTTCCGTTCATTAAAACTAAATATATATTGAGCTTTAGAGCCCATACTATTCCACTGAAAGTGCCTTGTTAACTCTATGGTTCAAATAAGAGGGTAGAAAGAGAAATGCATGTATGGGCAAATTCAAGTGTTATTTCTGAGATGAGCTGGCTCCTTCACATTAACTCTTAAAGTTGTTGAAGTTTCAAGGAATTGATTTTTTTAAAAGCTCTCTCTTTGTTCCCTCATCAAAGTTCCAGAAAGAGTTTTCTGCATTCCCTGTTAACATTCCATTTCCCACTGTCTCCTTATCTCACTGCGCAGTAGCTTCTCTCTCCATGATTGCAATGAACGTGTTCTCACCAAGGTCACAAGCTACCTTTTTGTCACTAAGTCCAGATATTTTATATAAATATATTAATATATGAATACTATTACTTTTAATGACCATCTAACATATGTATGCTTGTATAGACTGCTCCTTTCACATAACAACAAATCTTTGACAGTTTTCCAGGTTCTGGAGCATGAGGAGCTAGGTACAAACCCAAAATGCTCTGTTCCCAATCTGTGCTGTCCTGAGCCAAGTCCTTATGTCTCTGTCCCTCAGCTTTTCATCTATGAAACACCATATCTAATTCATAATACACCTGTGAGCATAAATGAGTCAATGCCTAAAACACACTTGGTTATAATGCATTTTAGTCACTTTTATTTCTTTGTCTCTATCTTTATTGGGTATGAGCATTTCTACTATCCCTATGGTATAGACTGATTTTTAATCACAATCACTGACCCTTGGAGGTATGCTGATAGAAGATGAGCAGGTCACAAAACCATATGTAGGATGAGAGCTTATCTTTTGTACATAAATATGTAAATCCAGGCATGCATGTGTAAATGTATAAGTACCAGCATAAGAAAATTTCTGAAAGAATGTAATACAGATGAAAACCTTAGCAGAGCTTTTCTTTTGGTGGTATGTTTGAGGATATTTTATTTCCTTTTTATGTTAATTAATTTTTAGTATAAAAATGTTTTATGCTATTTATTTTTTACTATAATAAACACCCCACAATACACACTTTCACTTATATAAAATAATAAAATGCAGAGAAATTTAAGCATTCTCAGCCCTACAGGAAACCTACAAGAAAGCCACTCAACTTTAGAAAAGGAACATCCAGAGGCACAGGAAGGGAGACAAGATGTTGGGGGAGCCCCTACTGGTAGGACAGGTCACAGGTCCCCATATTCCAAACCACACTAATTATTATCAGTATTTAAATCTCTGCTTAGTTAACTAGGAAAAAAACATGGTATCTTACTGTGTTTCATTTTGCTTTACCCTGATTGAAAGTAGGGTTGAAGGTCTTATCATCTGAAAGGCAGTAATGTACACTGGTTAGATGAAGGGCTCAAGAGCCACAAGCCTGTGTTCAAATCTAAGCCTCAGCACTTGCTAGTCCTGCCCTTGCTGTGCCTCAGTGTCCCCTTCTGTTTAAAGTCTCCTCATAGGTTATAGTGAGGATGAAACAAGTAGGTATAAGTTTAGCCTTTACAACAGTGTTGGGCACTGAGGAAGTCGGCAATAAATATTAATCATTCTTATCATACCTAAATTGAACATTAGTGTTTCTACTGCCATTTCTATTATTGTGTGGGCTTATAATGACCTTCATAATATAATGTTTGTCAAAAACAGCAGCTTACAAAGCTGTAACTAGGATATCATCTCATAACTATTCTTTAAATATGCAGTTATATTTGCATAATAAATTTTCTGAAAATAAATATTCAAATGATAACAGTGCTTATCCATGAGTAATAGACTTTTAAGGGTTTCTAATGATTTTTCCTTCTCCTGCTTTATCCATTTTTTATCTGTATCAAAAGTGTCTTGATTTTGGAAGTGAAAAAAATTATAAGAATAAATAAATATCCCTAGCCCTTTCCACAGGAAAGTGGCTCAGCATCAGAGTGAACATCAGAGGAACATCCCTAAACCAAAGGAATTAGGTAATAGCATAGTCCCAGAAGTAGTTCATGAATCTACCACATGACAGTCCCAATTGGGCAGCTTCAGGGACATTACAGATGCCTAGGAGAGGGGCAAGTATGTCTCTCAAATAAACCTTACATTTAGCAGTCAGACAATGTCTCCACTTCCCAGGATTTTAGTTAAGGTCACGAGATGAAAGTAGTTTCATAACATGCTTCCTTCTGTTCTCTCCCAAATAAAGCCCCTTGAACTGAAACCAGGTTCATTGGTTTAACCACGCAATTAGCCAAGCCCAATTTGCAGCTTCTCTGTCAGGAGGAAAAGTAGAGTGATCCATACATCAAATATTCTGGCTCTTCTGGGGCTTCCCAAGGGATTAGTTTCTGTCTCACCTGACCGGAGGCACTGACAGGGAACCAGTGTACCTTGGATGCCTGGGGGCCCCTGAGAACGAATGAGAGCTCTGCAGCCTATTGTCCAACCAGAGAACCTGCAGTACCACAGACAGACACCAGAGGGAGAAAGACATTACAAACTCAAACAAAAAAGCCCAGCAAATCTCTCTAATTAAGAAATTACATGAACAAGTCCAGAGAAGATGCATCATCAAATAAAGGTTGCAAGGCCCCGAGAATCTCTAGCCAGGCTGAGTGGAGACGATCTTACCCTGTATAAAACCAGTCCATAAAGACTGAGAGAGAAGACTGCTTTTTCAAATGCACAAATCCCAGAAAAAAGTAATAAGGCATACAGAGAAACAGAGAAACTTGGCCCAATCAAAGGAACAAAATAAATCTCAAGAAACCAGTCATAAAGAAATGAAGATCTACAAATTATCTGACGAATTCAAAATAATCATCTAAGGCAACTAAACAAAATCAGGAAAATGAGCATGCACAAAATGAGAATATCAAGATACAGAAATTATAAAAAAGAACCAAACAAATTCTGCAGCTGAAGAATACAATAATTGAATTGAAAATTTCGTTAGAGGGGTTCAACAGAAGATTTGATCAAGCAGAAGAAAGAATCAGCAAATGTGAAGATAGGTCATTTGAAATTATGGAGTCAGAGGAACAAAAAGAAAAAAAGAATGAAGAAAAGTGAAGAAAGCTTAAGGGACTTACAGTACACCAACAAGAAGATCAATATATACATTACAGGATTCCAAGAAGGAGGAGACAGAGAAAAGGGGGCAGAGAGTTTATTTGAAGAAATAATGGCCACAGATTTCACAAATGGACATCCAGCTTCAAGAAGCTCAGATGACTTTAATTAGGATGAACACAAACAGGCATTATAATCAAACTGTCAAAAGTTGAGATAATGAGAGAATCTTGATAGAAGCAAGAGAAAGTGGATGACCACGTACCAAAAACTATAAGTGGATTTCTCAGAAGACCAGAAGGGAGTGGGATGATATATTCAAAGTGCTGAAAGAAAAAAAAATCCCAAACAAGAATACTTTATCTGAAAAAACTTTCCTTCAAAAATGAAGGAGAAATAAAGACCTTCCCAGATATAGAAAAGCTGAGGGAGTTCATCATAATTAGACCTACCTTATAAGAAATGCTAAAGGGAGTCCTTCAAGTTGAAACCAAAGGATGTGAGACAGCACCATGTGTATTCAGTAGAAACCATATTTCAAATTTTGAATTTTGATCTTTCCCCAGGCTAGTGATATGCAATATGATACTCTCTTGTAATGCTGGGCAGCGGCATCGAGCCACAGCTCCTGGTCAGTCACAAGATCACTAGGGTAAACAACCGATACCCTTCCAACCATTCTGTACCCATACAACCATTTTGCTTTTCACCTCCAGTTCAGTATTCAATAAATTACTTGAGATACTCAACACTTTATTATAAAGTAGGCTTTGTGTTAGATGATTTTGCCCAACTGTAGGCTAATATAAGTGCTCTGAGAATGTTTAAGGTAGGTTAGATTTGGTAGATTTGGTAGGTTTGGTGTATTAAATGCATTTTCAACTTACAATGGGTTTCTCAGGACGTAACATCTATGACCAATCAAGTAGCAATGAATGACTCTAGTCCCCAGACTGAATCCTCTAAACACATATCCCACTGAAAGATACCAGGCTAGTTTGGAGAAATGGCTGATTCCAGCTCCAAAGAAGGAATTGTACCACATGTGTCTAGACCACACTCTCATACCAGAAAGCACGTCAAAAAGACTCATAAACCAGCTTGAAGGGTCTCCCACTGGCCAAAGATAGAACAATTTGACATCAAGTTAAATAATGACTACAATGGACAAATATACAAATGTCTATGAGTCATGATAACATTCTAAAAGAAAAGCAAAACACAAATAAAACCAACTCACTGCTCACCTTTGGAGGATCCCAGGGAAATGACTCTCATTCTTTTAAAAAGTGGAAATACTGCAAAAGAATTAAAAACATTCATCCTTCCCTTCCTGTGCAAACTATACCTCAGCATAGCCTAAAGGTTGATGAGGGGAGGTTCCTTTTATAGTAGAATTCTGGCTAATAAATGCAAAAGAAATTACAGAATTAGAACATCACCTTTTTACAAACTTTAATGACAAGCAGATCTAGGCAACTATTTTGGGAGGCTGCAAAAAAACATGAGGTAAAAAGCAGATGGGAAAATTTAATAATGGATAGATCAGGTTGACAACACCTGAACCCAGTGATCAATTTAGTGTCAGAAGAGACGGCCAGACAGAATGAGCCTCCTGGTGTAAGGCTAAAAGTAGTACAACACCTTATCTGGAGCATTCTTGCCAAAAAATGTGAACTGGATCAAGCCTCTAAATCTAATCATCACTTTTACAGAAATAGGGGAGGAAGGCAGAAGAACATAAACAACACAATAAAGATACAATCAGCAGAATCAAGAATGCAAACTCCACAGGACAAAAGATGCAATTTCTTAAGCAAATAGTTGGAAGGTTAAAAAAAACAAGGAGGCCTTTTTAAATACATGACACTTAAGACTTCAGAGAAATTACAATTAAAACCACAATGAGATACTACAGCATGCTTACCTGAACAATAAAAATGAGAAAGATGGAAAATATCAAGTGTTGGTGAGGATAAGGAATATAGCCTGATAAAACCACTTTGAAAACTACTTGGCAATTCCTACTGAGTTCAACATACACAAACCCTATGACGCAGAAATGCCTTTCTTATGTCTGTGCCCAAGAGAAGGAAAATAAATGTCCAAAAAGCTATGTACAAGATCATTCATAGCAACATTGTTTACAATAAGTCAAAAACTGGAAAATACCCAAATCCCTATTACAGATACAAATATTGTGAAATATCCACACAATATAATACTGTACACCAATGAGAATTAATGATCTACAATTACAGACAACAATAATATAAATCACACACACATTATGTTCATTGAAAGGAGCCAGACACAAAAGAGGTATATGTTATATGATTAAGGAGAGGAAAATCAACACCCCATTTCCTTTTACTTGAAGGTATTTAGTATCTTCTTATGTTACCTTCAGGTTAACCTCAGAGAAGCATGTATCCTCTGAGCCCTTGAAAAGTGATTCACTACACATAGGAACATAGGCTGATGGACAGAAAACTGGGTGGGACACAGGAGACACCCAAGTGGCAGACCTAACCCACTAACTCTAGGTGACCTTGAGTAAGTCATCACACTTCCTCTGGTCTCACCTATCAGGTGGATCAGACCATCCCTGAGGCCCAACCAGGGAGGCCCCAGACACAGAGCAATGAGATTCCCATTTGAAAAGCACTCTTAGATCATAAAAAGAACAGAATTCACCATGGGAGTCCAAATAATTATTTTAACAGCCAACTTGTCTAATGCATAGTAATTGTAATAATTATTACTTTTTTGTTTTTATAATTATTACCTTTTCATTTTTCTTAAATACCCTTTGTATATGGAAAAATAGCTACTGAAGAATATTCTTCATCCAAACAGATACGGCCCTGGCCTAATATCAGTCACTTTGGGCTAATATATCTCAGCACGTCTTTTTCTTCTTCCTAAGTGTACTGGTTAGGAGTGTGGGCTCTGGAGACAGACCAGGGCCAAATGCAAGATCTGCCACTTATAAACTGTGTGAGTGTAAATACTTTCACTTCACCTGACAGTCACCGTATTGGCTCCTGTCTGCCCTTTTGACCTCATCTCCTACCACTCTGCACTCTGCCTGCAAGGCTCCAGTCACTCAAGCTGGTCATCTGCTCCAGGAACAACTGGTGCTCACACAGTGAAAGGCTGCTGATGAAAAGGCCTGCTCAGGCCTGGCATCTTCTTGTAAGTAGTTCAGGACTCAGCTCAAATGTCACTTCCTAAGAAAGAGCTTCACTGACAACCCCATGGATAGTAACCCCTGACCCAACATTTTCTATTCTATTTATGTGTTTATTTTCTTCAAAGCACTCATCTCCATATGAAATTGCCACACTTATGGACTTGCCAGCCTATTGCCAGTTTTCCCAAACTAGAATGAAAGCTTCAGGGACCCTGTCTATCTTGTTTCTCTGGGCTGCATTCCCCTATGCCTAGTCTACTGCCTCACATATAAATCACTAAAAAAGTTTGACTTAAATGAAGGAATTGTTACCTTATCTGAAACAAAGGAGTAGACACATATTAAAAACTGAGTAACAGGAGAAACTGAAAAGAAATTAGACATCAAAAGATTCAAAACTTTGGGAATTCCCTGGTGGTCCAGTGGTTAGGACTCTGCGCTTTCACTACCAAGGGCCCGGGTCAACCCCTGGTCAGGATCCCGCAAGCCATGTGTCAGGAAAAAAAAGATCCAAACTTTTAAGAACACCTTGTTGCAAGTCCACAGCAGTCCTTTTTACTAGGATGAGCCAGAACTAACTGTATGATACTTCCCACAACACTTCCCTGATTTTGATTCAGCAGACCTAGAGTGAACCCAAGAGTTGGCAATTTCAACAAGCACCTCTGACAATTTTGATAAAGTGGTCCACAGACCACATTTTAAAAGATCCTGGCCTAAACATGTGACATTTGTGTGGCATTAATGTAATGCCTACCATGCAGAGTTCTATGATATCTGGGTTGTGTCCGTTAATGTAGTGCACTGGTCCTTCCCTTCCACCTACAACCATAGATTATTTTCCCACATGGCATCACACTTAAACTCCACAGTACTCCTGGGTGGTCAGGAGCATTGTGTACTGTTAGCCTGTTGTACAGACGAGGCATGTGAAAGGGTAGTGACTTACCTAAAGTGTCCCAATGATGGGGCCCGATCTCCTCACTCTTGCTCCAGGAACCTGTCTAGCAGGCTCGACAACACGCTTGGTTCTTCTCTACCAGCTCATGCTCCTGGGGCTCAGAGTCCACACCCTTCTCTGATGTTCCACTGTAAGGAAGAGTAAGGAGATAAGACAGCACATGGAATAGAGAGGAAAGTAAGATGAAGGGAAGGCACATGAAACACAGGGGAAGAGGTGAGGATGTTCTGCCTACTCCCTCTCAGTTCACTGGAAGCTGTGCAGTGGTGCTTTTCCTCTTCCCTAGCTCCATCACACAGCCCCCTCTGCACACACAGCAGTGACACTGAGGCTCACATGTCATGGACATGTGCACTTATCCCTGCTTGTGTTACATGTCCAAGTATTCTCTCTGGACGTCATGCTATCATGGTAATGTCAGAGGCATCACACTAAACAGAATGAAGGTTGCAAATTTGGAATGGGAACTAACATTGCTGAGGACCTACTTGATGCCACATGCTGTTGGTTGTTATTTTTTATCTTCAAATTCTCAAAGCAATGCTCTGTGGGCATCATTACTTCCTTTCTACGGATTAGGAGATACTCAGGCTCAGAGAGCAAAGTACGTGTTCAAAGAATCCTAAGGAGACGTCATATGGACACAAAAGCCAAGTTGAAGGGGATAAGACAGGCCAATGCTGGGACAATTTGAGCATCAAAATACACAATAATAATAAACCCTCTGAGCAAAATAGGAATCTATGAGTCATACTGATATAAATACTTGAATAAATGCATAAATAAATAAATTATAGGGAGAAGGAAAAGGTCTGCCACACAGCCGAAAGCCAATGAATAAATCTAGAAGGAATAACAAAATTGGAAAAACAACACTTGACAAATACCATAGTAACAAGTGATTCAGGCAAGATCCCTAAATGGATGCCCAGTCTGCACCAAATCCCACAGCAGTCATGGAGTCACTATGGTAACGATGCTGGCCAAGGAAAGCTGGGGAAAAGCAAACAACCACCACCCTGGTTTGGTTCCTAATATGTGCTAGGAACTGAGCAGGACTGACATAACACACAGTAATTAACCTAAAGTATTCCTGACAATAAAGATCCCTGGCAGCTTTAGCAATATACACATACATGCATACATACCCATATACATACATGCTCTCTTCTTCTCCTCTCACCACTCAAGATCCCAGTAATTCATTGCGGTGAATAGCTGGGGGGTGGGTGAGAAAGGAATATACAACAATTCAACAGATTCAATTCTAAACACACATATACATATATAGTTGAAAGGTACTAAGCTATTTTAGTGATGGAGATGAACTGTAGAATTGTCTCTGGGACATTTTTCTCCCTAGTTTCAGTGCATTGCCAATAACCTCTAAAAGCTGATATGGAAATATAAGCATATGCATGTTATACATCAAGAATCTTTTTCAACCTAGAGTAGGTAGCCTAAGCTTTCAACCAAAACATTCCTCAATGGCTACTTTTTGACATTTGGCCACTGACAGTTTAGTGAAAAGTAAACACATGTAAATTGCAATTAAAAAATACTATCATTCATGATAGCACCAAAAAGTATGAAATACTTAGGAATAATCTCTCCATGTATGTGAAAGGTCTATACATTGAACACTACAAAACATTGCTGACAGAAATTAAAGAAGATCTAAATAAATGGAGAAACATACCATCATCATATGTCAGAAGACTCAGTGTTGTAAAGATGTAGATTCTCTTCTAACTGATCTATAGATTCAGTGTAATCCTAATAAAAATCCTAGCAGATATTGTTTTTTAAGAAATTGACAGGCTCGGGACTTCCCTGGCAGTCCAGTGGTTAAGACCCCATGCTTCCACTACCAAGAGCGCAGGTTCAATCCCTAATTGGGGAACTAAGATCCCGCATTCCGCAGGGTGTGGCAAAAAAAAAGAAATTGACAGGCTGATTCTAAAATTCATGTTGAAATGCAAAGGCCCTAGACTATGAAAAACAACTGTGAAAAAGAAGAACAAAGCTAGAGGATCAAAACTACCTGACTTCAAGAATCATTATAGGGCTTCCCTTGTGGTGCAGTGGTTGGGAATCTGCCTGTCAATGCAGGGGACATGGGTTCGAGCCCTGGTCTGGGAAGATCCCACATGCCGTGGAGCAACTAAGCCCGTGAGCCACAACTACTGAGTCTGCGTGTCTGGAGCCTGGGCTCCGCAACGGGAGAGGCCGCGACAGTGAGAGGCCTGCACATCTCAATGAAAAGTGGCCCCCTGGGCTTCCCTGGTGGCGCAGTGGTTGAGAGTCCGCCTGCCGATGCAGGGGACACGGGTTCATGCCCCGGTCCAGGAAGATCCCACTTGCCATGGAGCGGCTGGACCCGTGAGCCATGGCCACTGAGCCTGTGCGTCCGGAGCCTGTGCTCCGCGGCGGGAGAGGCCACAACAGTGAGAGGCCTGCGTACCGCAAAAAAAAAGAATAGCCCCCCACTTGCCGCAACTGGAGAAAGCCCTCGCAAAGAAGCGAAGACCCAACACAGCCAAAAATAAATAAATAAATAATTTTTTTAAAAAAAAGAATCATTATAAACCTTCAGTAATCAACAGTGTGGTACTTACTGGCATCAAGGAAGACAAGTAGATCAATGGAATAGAATAAGCAGTCCATTTCTGGACTCAGACAACTGATTTTTGACAAAAGTTGTAATGGCAATTCAGTGGAGAAAAGATAGTCTTTTCAACAGATGGCGCTGGGATAAATGGATAGCCACATGCACAAATATAAACTTTGATCCATGTATTGCACCATATACAAAAGTCAACTTAAAATGGATCACAGACCTAAATATAAAATGTAAAACTTCTAGGATAAAACATGGGAGAAAATCCTTGTGACCTTGGGTCAGGGGAAGATTCCATAGAGGCAAAACCAAAACTACAATCCATAAGTGAACAAACCAATAAATTGGACTTCTCAAAGTTAAACATTTCTGCTATTCCAAAGACACTGTTGAGAGAATTAAAAGACAAGCCACTCATTGGGAGAAAATATTTGCAAATCATGTATCTGATAAAGGTCTTGTATCCAGAATATAAAAAATTTCACAAAGGTAAATAAGAAGAAAACAGACACTCCAACAAATAAATGGACAAAATATTTGAATAGATGCTCCACCAAAGTAGATATACAAATGTCAAATAAGTACATGAAAAGATGCTAATCATCTTTTCTTAAATGTTCAAAGTCATTAGGGAAATGTAAATGAAAACTATGAGATACCACTGCACCTCTCTGAGAAAGGCCAAAATTTAAAAGACTGACCATATAAAGTCTTGGCAAGGTTGTGAAGGATGGAACTCTCAAACACAGCTGTTGGCAATGAAATATGGTGCAACCACTTCGGAAAACAGTTTGGCGGTTTCTTATAATGTTAACCTCACATCTATCACATGATCCAGCCATTGCACTCCTAAGTATTTATCCTAGAGGAAGAAAGTCTATGTCTATGCAAAGACTAATATACAAATGTTCATAACAGCTTTATTTACAAGAGCCCCAAATTGGAAACCACCCAAATACCCATTAACAGATAAATGGATAAAACAAATTGTGGTATATCCATATAATGGAATATTAGTCAACATTAAAAAGAAGGAACTATTTGTACATGCAACAAATGGATAAATCCAGAAATAATTAGGTTGAAGGAAAGAAGACAGACAAAAAAAATACATTGTATGATTCCACTCATATAAAATTATAGGAAAAGAAAACGAATCTATAGTGACAGAAGATCACTAGTTATCTGAGAACAGGGTAGGGTGATGTAGAGAGAGAGGCAAGAGAGAGTTAGATGAGAAGATTACAAAGGAGCACTAGGAAGCTTTTTAAGTTGATGGATATGTTCATTATCTGGACTGTAGTATTGGATTCACAGGTGCATACATATATCAAAACATTAAAGCATATACTTTAAATATGTACAGTATATTGTATGTTAACCATACCTCAATAAAGTATTTGAAATATATTTATATATTCATAATTCTCTGATGCAATTAATCAGTTGAAAGAGTCCCACAATTATGCTCTTGTAGTATTAACAGGTCCACACTCTATATTATCAAATTGGTCCACACTACAGATAACCAAAATAGAAATAATCATTTGCAATGAAATCTATCCAAATATTTAGGGAAAGCTAATGTCCATTTCTACCTGAAGTACAGAAATAAAAATATTACATCCTAGAAAAATAATCATAATGATATTTAAGAGTAACTGGTTCTTTTAGAGAATGAGGCTGAGTATCATTATAATAAACTCTAGGATAATAATTATTTTTTAAATATTAAGTTCTAATAACTGAGATTTTAAACTAACACTTGGACTTCCCTGGCACTCCAGTGGTTAAGACTCCGTGCCTCCACTGCAGGGGACATGGGTTCGATCCCTGGTCAGGGAACTAAGATCCTGTGTGTCGTGTGGTGCCGCCAAAAATAAATAAATAAACGAACACTTGGAAATTTCCTGCCTCTTTAAAATATTTCATTATATAATGGGAAAAAAACATGGTCAGCAGAGAACGATCTATATTACAATCTCAAATTGCTAGAAGAGCTAACAACTGCATATTTCCACACTCATCTGAGAGATATATGGGAAGTGATGATTATTATTTGTACAGTAAAAACAATTTGGTGTATTTATTGCAAATGCTTGCTTAAGACCAAGTAAGTTCCTTCCTCAACTGGACAATTCATTGTTTTTCAGCCAAAAAGAAAAAAAAAAAGGCTTCTCTGAGATGGGCCTCAAGGTCTACTGCAAAGCATGTAGCTGCTGAAGAATGAAATTCCACCTGCTAAACAACTTCTTCCATGATGAGATCAAAGTAGCTTCTCTACTTTTAGGCTAGTTTGTGAACCTCACAGGAACTATTCCACAGCATGCTTTTATCAGATCTATGAACTCACTTGAGTCAGTCAGCATAACTAACTAAAGATGTGAAACGTTGGGGTCTCCTGAGAACTGCTGCACTTGAACCTGGAGTAGAAGCTATAGCCGCCATCAGCACACAGATCCTCAGAACCTGAGTCCTTCAGACACCTGATATGGGCAAGGCGACTGACATGAGGAGCTGCAGAGGGTGAGACAGATCCAGCAATCACCATGCTTTACTGGCGTAACTGTGTGCCAGGCACTATACTATGTCCCCTTTCACCAAAAACAAAACACCTCCTCTCTTCAGACCAGCTATCTGAGATGACCCTTCCTATAGGGCAGGTCTGGGGAAATGAGCAATCAATCAGATTCACAATAAAGACATAGGATGGTAATAGCTGGTGTTGGAGGAATGAAGGGGCAATAGATACTGGCATACACTGTTGGTGCCAAATGAGCATGTCCATTTTCTGATGCCCATTTATTACAGCTGAATAACTTGAATGGCCTTTGATACAGAAGTCCTATTTCCACCAACAAGAGAGTTTTGGGTGAGGGAGAGTTTTGGAAAGGATTCCCAAGGTGATTATGATCTGCATCCAAGTTAAGGGTCCCTAGCTGAGGGGAGGCAGATAAAGGAGCTACATGTGTTCTCCGATTTGTGGGGGACGGACAGCTAATATTTATGAAGCTTTTTAAAAAACAGGGCCAATGAATAGGTTCTTCACATTGTTGGCTGAATTTATTCCTCACCACAAACTTACTAGTGAGGTATCAGTATCCTCTCCATGGATGTTAATGACTCCAAGCATGCATTCCTAACCACAGAGACAGATGGCAAAGAAGATAAAAGTCGAGGTTCCCCACGTAGCCTTTACTAACATGGGAGATGGGGCAGGGATGGGAGTGGACGGGAAATGGTGCCTTGTTACTACTGCTTGGTTAAAGTAGGATTTCACTCCCCACCAGGCCTCCACCGACACTACCCTGGAAGGTGGGGAAAGACACTTCCTTACTGCCCTCCATGTGGCCTCCCCCAACACTGTGGAGGGCAGTGAGGTGGGTGTTCATTTCCACCAGGTGGGGATGAAAGTCCCTCTTTCCCATAGGGTCTTCTCTGATACCACCCCAAAGAGTGGGGAGGGGTACCTCTTTACAATCAAGTGAGCATGGAGTCCACATTTCCCACTCAGTCTTTGCTGCCATGGTGAGGGCGCAGCTGTTTCACTCTGTGATGTTAGGGCAGTTGTCTAAAAGCTTTCTTTCTTGCTAGGTTC